ATGGGGCAAGGGTGCAAAGAACAAACCAACTTCAAATAGATTTTCAAGGTAACTGTGTTGCTAAAATATCAACTCTAAAATTTGCTACATTTAAAGGAGGGATTGAACTTAAACCACAAATGCAGAATATGTCACATCTTCCCCAACTTTCCAGCATGTCCTGAATTTTCTGACAATCTACAAGGAACATGTTAATTAATCTGACTGTTAATCCTTTAGGAAGTTTGACAATAATATAATAATGAGGAATTTTAAAACTTTCTGTATAATTAAAATTTACTACGATTAAATTCTGTGCAGAGGCTGCTTATGAAGATATAAAGTTATATATTAACAATTGTCTAATTGGAATTACTATAATAAATAGGACTGGTTGCACCCCCTACTGTTGCATGCCAAAATTCCCAGGGATTTAGGGGCATAGGTTGTAGCCATGTTGATCTAAGGACATAGGCAGACACAGTTCTTTGGGTAAATCTGATATCTTTTATTAAACCAACTAAAATAGTTGGAAAAATTCTTCTTTGCAAACTTTTGGGTACAAACTTTTGGGGATGCTTCCTCAGCTTGACGAAGGTTGTTTGTACCCAAAAGCTTATAAAGAAGAATTTTTCCAACTATTTTAGTTGGTCTGATAAAAGATACCAGATTTACCCAAAGACCCTTGTCTGCCAAAATTCCCAGGGTGAGATTTCTTAATTCCTTATTGCTTTGCAAACTTTAACCATTTGGTGTAAAATGTTCCTTGCTGGTTATGTTTAATTCTGTTTAGAAAATTTTAGGTACAAAGCTTCAGCCATTTCTGAGGATGAAACTAAGGGAAAATACATTTTGCCCATCTTAAAAAACCTAGTGAGCTTTCTTTGGTGATGGTTTGGTATGCTCCTGCTCTAAAGCAAAAACGTGACATGTGAGATGGGGGCTTGACTTTATATTAGGGATGTGCCTTTTACTGTCACTATGAAGTTCTACCCAAATTAGCCAAATTATTAGCTTTTTAAAATCTTAGTTTGCACATGCTCAGTACCAACTTCTTTTACTTTAGTAAAAAGTTCTGTTTATGCAGGACTTTCCAATCTCCCCACGGCTCCTAGCATCGATCAGACTGTGCACACCACAAAGCAACCAAGCATGTTTAACCTTAGGACTAACGGAGCCAAGAAAGACTTTGCTACAATAATTACACCTATGAACTTCTGTGGGTGCACTGGGGCCAGGTACCAAAACAGAGAGCAAGAAGTCTCTTTCTCCTCTGTAACCCAGGCATGAGGGAAAAGTAGCTGCCTTGAATGCGGAGGGAACAAGAACCAGACTGGGGGCGGGGAAAGAATTAAGGAGTTTGGGACAAGGGGTCAGGTGAAACTTGGACTGGAGTTGGGGATGGAAAGATGGAAACTGTGAGTGGGAATTGGGAGGGAGGAGACTGGAACTGGGAGCTCTGACAGAGACTAGCAGGCAGAGGGGTGAGGTAAAGGCAAGACTGAAATTGGTTGGGCAAAGGAACTGGAACTTGAAGCTGGTGGGAGATCAGAACGGAAAATGAGTGATGACAACTGTGGGCCTGGGAACCTGGTACAATGGGTAGGGAGGCACTAAGGTTAGATAAGGAGCTGTGGGAATGTGGGCACTGGTACAAGGATCCAGGGGCAACTGGTGATATGCCAGGGAAAGATTCAAGGCATCAAAAAGAAAAAGACAGATCAGATGAGGATCTGGAAAAGAAAAGCTGAGACTGACTGAACAGAGACACCAGGAGCAAGAAGTCAGGGTTCTGGGTGGGTGAACTGGGCAAGGAGACTAGGGCATGGGAGAGATTTTGAACTGGGGAGATACTGGGATTTGGAGGAAGACTCCAAAAGGGTAGACTAGGATGGTCTGGGCAAAGAGATTGGCACTAGGATGAGAAGCTTGAGGATTAAAAACTGGGACAAGATAATCAAGAAAAATGGATTTAGAAAGAGGTGGCAAGGGTAGAGGACAGACAGGACTGGGACTGGGCATGCTGGAATGGATGATGGGAGAGGGTCCAGCTGAGGAAGACTGACCAGAAGAGTCTGTGCCCACTTGCAAACACTCCTCCTCCAAGCCTGCAGTTTCCACTGGACAGTGGACAGACAAGTCTTTTGAGTCCTCTGCTTCCAGCAATACGTACAACTCATTGGCAAAGTGTATATCTCATCTTTTTCTAGTGCTAGTCCTGAGAGAGGAAAGCAACCTACACCAGCTGTCACTACCTTCATTAGCTCAGCTGGCAGGGATGTAAGATGCATGTAAAGGCTCCAACCATGACGGTGAACCATATTGGTATTAATACTACGCTACACACGTTTTCAGTTTGCATGCACACAAGCAAAATCCATGCACTTTCATAGCTAGAATTTCTGGATCTATGCAATTATCTCACTCAACTATTTGTTTTTAATATTGCACATGGAATTACACAAAACTCGGTTGCTAGGATCCCCTTCCTTAATTTAACCATTATGAAACTGATTAGTTAGTGGTCAGGAATAGAGTCAATGAGGCAATAGATTATGAGGCCTGGACATCACATAAGACCCGGTGAGGAAGCTCTCATTTTTTGCTCCTTCTATAGAGGAAACAAGACCTGAAATCTGGGATAGGAGAGTGGGTGTGTATCTGGAAGAACAGAAGAAAACAGTGCTACACGTTTAAAATTACTAATGAATTTCTGATTCTTTATGAGAGAAGGAATGTGTACTGAAAAGTTGAACAAGTAACAAAACTAGAAATAAAATTCATAGCTTATAGTTACATAAAAAACAGTAAAACTAATTTAGAGAGCCATTGGGACTTGACAGCACGACTGAATTGTTAGATCAGGAAAATGGGTTCTCCCCTGACTCTGCCATTGATTCACTGTGAATTGCTGTCCCTCCTTGCTCTCATCTTAAACATGGGGCTAATACTTATTTACTTATCAATGATGCTGTTATGATTTGTCACAAATGAATGGGTTTTATAGAGGCAGGATATGTGAAAACCCTATTGCTGTCAGTTAGAATTTCACCTAAGTAATGACTGCATGAAGGAGGCCAATAGCTGTAGATTGCTTTGTTCTCTTCTGGTAAAAGGAACACTCCATTCATTTAGAAATGTGGATCTTCCATTTTTTTATGTTTTTTTTTTTTAGTTTGCAATTAAGTACAGTTAAAGCAGCTGTACCTGGAGGCAACAGCTCCTTCTGAGGTACAGAAGCGTTCAAACACAAGCTCTTTGTACTTGGATTTTATCTTCATAAAGTGTTAGTATTACACTTTGCATTTCATTCTGGATCTGAAATAACTGAGATTACCAAATCGCTTTAATTAAAAAAAATAGTGTAAAATTATAGTTGGAAAGAAGTGTTCACCATTACTGTCCTATCTGTAGCCTGAACCTGCTCCTGTTAAAATCAGTGACAAAGCTCCCATTGATTTCTTTGGGGGTAGGAGTGAAACACTAGAAGAGATTTATTAGTATTTACTATTTTACTATTAGAATCCGTAGGAGCTAGTATGAATGGAAGAAAGTAACTCTGGAGCACAGGGGTGGTGCGGTGAGCCATCAGCATAAAAATGAGGGTTGTTTTGGAACAAAATTCCCTTAAGATAAAATGTGGAAGGGGATGGAGACCATGGACAGAGCTCTGTGAAACCCCCAGAGGAGGCTGGAAGGTGGAGGGAGATGATTTTCTGAAGGACCTGTTGAAAGAAAGTATAGAGAGATCAGAGGAAAATCAGGAGGGGACAGAACTGGGAAAGCCAAAGGAGGCCAATATCTTAAGAACAGTATGTGACAAAGGCTGGTCACGGGTGACACAGCTGGAGGGCTGGTTCTGTGGCTTGCTTTAGAAAAAATATTAGCAACATTTCCAGCTGAGCAGGCTCTGCAACCTCATTGCTGCCTGTCACCTGGGCACCACTGGTGACTGGAGCACAATGAGTCTGCAGGCTCAGGCCGTGCCTACATCACACAAATTCTTCCTGCGCGCATCTCCAAGATCCAGCATTTCCTGTTGGCTGCACTGTGCTTACCCTGCGTGGGAGACTCCATTGTACGAACTTCTGCTCTGGATGGAGTATGATCAGGGACATGCTCCAGCATCCCTGCTGTGGAACTGAGAAGGTCATCGAAATCTGTAGTGCCCATCCTCATCCCTCTGGGGCCGGATGGACAGTGTTCAGTTTGTCCATGGGCCAGATTCGGTCCGTGGGCCTAGTCCAGCATGTGGGGGTGGGGTGAGGTGGGGCTCAATTCAGCTGTGTCAGTGGCCCCGTCCCAATTGGGGAGGGGGGCATGCCCTGGCCCTCATCCAGCTGTGGTCAGTGGTGAGGGAGAAGGGAAGTGGCCTGGCCCCAGTGTAACCATGTGCATGGGGACAGGGGTAGGGTGCATGCCAGCCACGTTGTGAGGCTAAGGTGGTGTGTCCTGGCCTGCAAATTTGGCAGTCGAGGAGAGGCGCCAGTATTATTTGGTACTGCTCCCCCGCCACCACATTTCCTGACCTACGGGGAGCCCCGCGGACCAGATCCCACAGGCCAGAGGTCGAGCAGTCCCTGATCTGAACCATGCCAAGGACACATCCTTTGATTTTTGCCTTTTCCAAAAAAAAAAGGACACGGCAGCGCTTTTCTGCTCCTCCTCCCTCCCCGCAGGGAAGACTGCGCTACGCCAGCCCACAGTGCTGCTGGCCTCCAGCCTATGCCCAGGCCCACTAGGATCCTACAAGCCTCCCTCAATGTCACTAAACGCAGAGCATCCGGGAGGCAGCACAGGGGCCACACCTTGGCACCCTCCAGGTCGCCACCAAAGGCGCCATGCGGGGAGCCCAGGGGGAGCAGCATACACTCCCCCAAGGCCCAGGGCTGCCCATGTGGCACTGAACAACCCAGCGCTGGGCAGGTCCCTAAGGGCCCCTCAGAGGCCCCGCCCCCCAGAAACCACGCGGCCCCTTTAAGGGAGGCGGGGCTTGCGCAGGCCCCGCCTCCAGTCGGCTGAGGCTCATTCACTTCCGGGTCGCGCGGCTGCTGCGGTCCCGGCGTGCTGCTGACTGTCGGGGACCCTGCGCCGCGATGGTGAGTAATTCCCTCCCCCCCCCGCGCAGTGGTGCGGTCCGGCTCGGCTGGGCTCGGCTGAGGCGGGCGGAGCGGCCCAAGTCCAGGCCGGGGGGAGGTATAGAGCTCGGCCCGCGGAGCTGAGGCGGACGGCGGGGCCTGGCACCTGGCGGGGGGTTGACGTCCTGCCCTCCCCTCCCTGTTCTGATGGAGCACCCTCCCTCCTCATGAGCGGGGTAGCGGGTCGTGCCCCGTGACTGACCCGGCCTGGTGGAGCCAGAGTCCGTTCCCCCCGGGGGTTGGGCGGTGTCAGGTGGATTTGCGGGACAAGGAAGAGCCGGGGGCGAAGGTCGTTGTTCGGCACCCGAGCAGAGTGCGCGGGACCGAGGCTCCCCTAGACATGGGCATGGGGAGGGCAGGCCGTTGCCCACCTAGTGAACATAAAAGCCCCCTCTTAATTTGGGGGCTGCGAAGTGCATGTTGAGTGCTAACGGGGGGCAGCTGAGGAAGAGAAGGGGGGGGCAGAGGGAAGGTCATTGTTTAAAACAAGTGCACCAAGAGTCAGAGGAAAGCAGCCCCGGGAGCAGGATGGTGTCCAAACGAGCTGGTGGATGCAGGGCGACCGGGGAAGTGTGGGCCAAGGCCCACTGAGTACGACTGTATGCCTTCCTTAAGGAGGGAGCACTGAGTCCTTGGGACAAATAAAAGACACCCACGGAGAGGAGTGAGGGTCATGGTTTCAAAACCAGCGTGCCAAGGTGGGGACGCTGAGCAGAGCACACCAGACTGCCTGCAGGCCCTCAAATGAGTCTGCGGAGCCAGCAGGTGCTGTTTGACGCAGGCCTTTTTGTGTGCCACACGGTGACATGGGTCAAAGGCCACCAAGTTTGTGTGACAGGATACCAGGCAGGATGGGCCAGTAAATGGCACATCTTAGGGCTATAGCAGCAAGAGCCGTACAAGCGATGGATGCTCTTGATACAGTGAGGACCTGGCCAAAGTCTCCAATGTGCACCTGGAAAGCAGTCCTTCATTTTCTCATTAAGATTAGGCCTCAAATTTGGGATAAAAAATGTGGACGCTGTTGTAGTTCAGAGTATATATTTAGGAGATGTTTAGATGTGTTCACTTAAGAAAGTAATGCTAACAAGTCTTAGTTTGTGGCCACAAATGTATCCTTTATTTATGTAGTTCTGGAAAAAAGCACTCATCAAATGCTTTTGCTGGTTAAAACAGTAACTGACCTTACAAGTTGAATTAGTTGGGGACCCCTTTCCATGACAGCCCCTGGGAGTGATTGCACTGACCCTCTGGGTGCTATTCTTTGCCCTACCTTCTTTCTGACTTCAGATTAACATGGCTAACCACATCTCTGACACATAATCTCCAACACACCACGTTCAGTCTCTATCTTATCTCTGTCTCAGAAGCTTGGGAAAACAGATGAATATTGCAGAGGGTCCAGAAAGCTAGCAGCCTTTGGTACAAAGTCAAGAAAAATGAAAAGTCAGTGTTGAGGGGTATTCACTAAATGGAGTCTGCCAGTGGATCTTTTGCGGCTGTACAAGATGGCTGCTTGTTAAGCTTGCAGTTGTCTGTGAAGGATTTGGGGGGAGAGGAGGGTAACACCCCCCCCCCAATCATTTATGCCTTTAGAAACCTAAAACAAGCATCTTTTTAGCATAAAAAATACTCTTTTGCTAGTGGTCTAGGGAAATCTGGCTAGAAGTTCCCTAAAAAAGGGTTAAGGATGCAATGCATTATTGGTATGTCTTTAGGATTAGGAATGAGTCAGTTTCCATTATAGTTGTAATGAATTTTCATGGGGGCTGTTTAGTTCCATTGTTAAACATAAATTACTGTTCTGCAAAATGTGATTAGGTTCCCTGTTCCATGTACTAAAAATGTACTGCAGTCTCAAAGCTGATGTGCTGTTAACATGTAGACCTAAAAGATCAAAGGAAAACACTCTAGTTGCAAGGACTTCTAAACCAAATGTGAGGTTACCATTGCTTTGAATTGGAGGGGAAAAAGGAAATATCAAGGACCTCTGCATATTCTTCTTGCTGGAATTAAAAAAAAAAAAAAATCCATGCTTCTTACAGTGATCGGTGGCATTGCTTTATGCATTTGACAATATGGGAGTTGAAAACTCAGAAGCAAGTGTTATGTTTCTGGTAGACCAATGTCCTTGGATCCAAGGTACAGAATTAAGGTGGTTCTGCTGCATTGGAGAAGTCAGCATTGTGCTTTTTATGATTGCAGCATGACTCATTTTGAATGTGAGCCCTTCCATAATGAAGACCAAAAAGTAGAAGCAGCAGCAGAATTAATAGGGTATTTAAGGACAAACCAACCAAATGTTACTATCAGAGCTGAAGTTGGTATTAGTTTCCCACAAAGTGCGTAAAAGAAAATGAAGGTAGCAATATCATTCTGGGAAAAGCTCTGAAGATTTTACAAGTTGATTCAGGAGAAAGTCATAAAAGCCCTGTTTTGGGGGGTTTTTTACTTGTGCAGAAGACTTTAAACAGTCTGAGATGCAAAGCTTGCAAAAGAGCCGGATGTTTTCACGACTGAGGGGGTAGGACCACAGTTGCGACAAATGGAAAAGACCTATAGGACGGTGAAATTAGCCTCCCTGGGAGGTACGTCTGTAATTTGATAAATGTCAGATATATTACTTTGTACTTCAGTTTTTCTGGCAAAGAGATTGGGCTGGTGCCAAAAGCAATTAATAGCACCAGTGTTCTGACTGCTGTCAGAGGTTCAAGCAGGAAATTATAAGCTCTAGAGCTAACATGAGCAAGAGACACCTTTTATTCTGTGGGGTAATCTTCAGGAGGTTTTGAGGAGTTTGATCTCCTAATCGAGTCGGCAGTTCTCAAATGCATTAAGCTATTTTCTAATGTTTTGCCTCCACTTAAAAGATAATTAAATTAAGTGATTAGCCAAATTTCTCTTTAAGAATACTTCAGGTCTCCTTATGTCATAAAGTGGCAAAAGAGGCTGGACATCCTTTGGGATTTTTTTTTTGGCTCCATGTCATCTTTAAGGGTACATGATATGCAGCTAGAAGTGATGCTTACTGGTAACTCCCTTCTTGTCAGTGTAGAGACAGAAGAGGATGTTGGAGTCATTATTGATGCCAAAATGAACATGGGCCGACAGTGTGGGGACGCGTTCAGGAAGGCTAACCATATCTTGTCATGCATTCACAGATGCATCTCGAGCAGGTCCAGGGAGGTGATCCTCCCCCTCTATGTGACACTGGTCAGGCCGCAGCTGGAGTACTGTATCCAGTTTTGTGCACCACACTTCAAGAGGGATGTGGACAGCATGGAGAGGGTCCAGAGGCGGGCCACTTGTATGGTCAGGGGGCAGCAGGGCAGGCCCTACGAGAAGAGGCGACAGGACCTGAACCTGTTCAGCCTCCACAAGAGAAGGCTGAGGGGGGATCTGGTGGCCATTTACAAACTAGTCAGGGGGGACCAGCAGGCACTGGGGGAGTCCCTGTTCCCCCGAGCACTACCAGGAGTGACAAAAAATAACGGTCACAAGCTGGCAGAGGGTAAATTCATGCTAGACATCAGGAGGCGCTACTTCACGGTCAGGGTGGCTAGGATCTGGAACCAACTTCCAAGCGAAGTGATGCTGGCTCCTACCCTGGGGGTCTTTAAAAGGAGGCTGGATGAACACCTTGCTAGGGTCGTTTGACCCCAGTACTCTTTCCTGCCATGGCAGGGGGTCGGACTCGATGATCTGTTCAGGTCCCTTCCAACCCTACCAACTGTGAAACTACGTAATAGTATGAATCTTAGAATGTTGCAAATTTGAAATGCTAGAAAGAGTATAGAACCTCTGTGAGGCAAATAAAAATAATCTACTTTTTCTCTGGGGAAACTGAGGCAGAAAGGTTGAGTTGCTTCTCATAGGCCACAGGGCAGGTTTGTTGGAACAGGGATGATAACTTGGAGTTTCTTGGCTCCCACTCCTGGACTTGAACTTTAAGACTGTAATGTCTTTTAGGTAACAACTGTGATTTGGTAAAAAATGGGATTAAGGTAACATAAAGGTCCTTTAAAATGGGCATGGTCAACATTGCTTCTACCCCCTCATTTAAAAAAAAAAAAAGAAAAAGACAGCATCCTAATGAATTTATGCCAAAGGATCGCTTGAGGCAGATGAAGAAATCGTGGACGTGAAAGATGAAAGCTTCAGAGCTCTCATTTTAAAGGCAAGATTACATTTCTGCTGTAGGGTCAGATGCATCAACAGTTGATACCATTATTTTCAAAATTGCATGAGAGATCATGTACCAGTCATTCTGCCTCCTTTTTTGTTAATGTTGAGGATGATTCATAATGTGTGTGAGTCATTACTTGTGCTGATGGAATTAGTTGGATTGAAAACAGTAGGCAATTATTGGGCAATAGAATTTAATTTAAAGAAGTATGTTAAATAGTTACTGTTATGTATTGATCAAAGGAAGTCTGGAGGTTTACTCCCTGGTTTGCTTGTAGGCAGTACAACATTAGGGACAACGTTCTGTAACAACGTGATGTAGTGGTTCTCGACTTTTTTAGACTTGGGGCACCCCTGGATAGATTCAAAACACCCATTGGAAAATGCCAGTGTTTAGTTTTCACTTGTTTTTTGACTACAGAAAAATAGTAGAGCAATTCTTTTGCAAAGAACTCGAAGACCTGAAGAGGGTAAAATGTTTTTGAATGGTAGGGATTCCTTTTTTAAATCTTGGGGTTTATCTTATGAATGAAGTTTGCAGACCTAACAATTCTAACATGTGGCACCTTGTGGCATCCTTGAAAGGATCTCAAGGCACTCCAGAGGGTTGCAGCGTCCTGGCTGAGAATTGCCACTGTAGGACAATAAGGAAAAAGAATGATGGCCAGAATTGGAAACAAGACTATAAGAACTGTAACTTTATTTCTGTACAAAACGCAAGAGACATTTGTTTCTTTAATCTTGTACTCTAATAGCTTTTGGGTGCATCTACTCAT